GGAATGCAGAAATCATCGGACAATCTCTTTGATATCCCATGCGAGTAAAGTTTTACTAAAGGTAATACAGAAACGGCTGTAAGCATACATTGACAGAGAACTTCCAGAGGTTCAAGCTGGATTCAGAAGAGGCTGTGGAACGAGGGCTATCATTGCTGATGTCTGATGGATCTTGGCTGAAAGCAGAGAATATCAGAAAGATGTTTACCTGTGCTTTATTGACTACACATAGGCTTTCTATTGTGTGAATCGTGACAAGCTATGGACAATATTGCGAAGTAGGAGTATTCCGGAACACTTAATTGTGCTCATGAGGAATACCTGGACCAAGAGGCAGTTGTTCGAACAGAACATGGGAACACTGAATGGTTAAAAATTAGGAAAGGTGTGTGACAAGGTTGTATTTTTTCACCATACTTATTCAAGCTGTATACTGAGCAAATAATCTGAGAAGCTGGATTATATGAAGAAAAATGTGGCATCAGGATTGGAGGAAGACCCATTAACAATGTGTGATATACAGATGATACAACCTTGCTAGCTAAAAGTGAAGAGGAATTAAAACATTTACTCATGAAGATCAAAGATCACAGCCTTCGGTATGGATTATATCTCAATGTAAAGAAAACAAAAATCCTCACCACTGGACCAATAAACAATATTCTTATCAACAGAGAAAAGATTGAAGTTGTCAAGGACTTCATTCTTCTTGGATCAACCATCAACACTCATGGAAGCAGCAGTCAAGAAATCAAAGGACATATTCCGTTAGGCAACTCTGCTGCACAAGACCTTAAAGTGTTGAAGAGCAAAGATGTCGGCTTGAGGACTAAGGTGCACCTGACCCAAGCCATGGTATATTCGATAACCTCATATGCATGGGAAAGCTGGACAGTGAATAAGGAAGACCTTAGAAGAATTGGTGCTTTTGAGTTACGGTGTTGGAGGAGAATATTGAAAGTGCCATGGGCTGCCAAAAGAACCAATAGATGCGTTTTGGAAGACGTGCAGCCAGAGTACTCCTTGGAGGCCAAGATGGCCAAACTTTGTCTCTCATATTGTTAGGAGGGAACAGTCGCTGGAGAAGGATATCATATTTGGTAAGGTGGAGGGTCAGAAAAAAAGAGTAAGACCCCCAATGAAATGGATTGGCCAAGTGGCAGCATTAGTGAGGTTGGCCCAGGATCAGGCAGTGTTTCGTTCTGCTGTGCATAAGGTCGCTATGAGTCGGTACCTACTCGATGGCACCTAACAACAACAACAACAACAATCTGAGAAGCCCTAGGTGTCAGATTCAAGGAGCATTTAGAAAGATGCATTTAGAACTTTAATGTCTAGCAGAAATACTTTCAGGTCTGATGCTTTTCAACTTCTAGTGAATTTTTTATGTGGAATTTTATTTGTTGTGTTAACTGAGAAGTAGCTGAGAAACAAATTCTTTAGAAGACAAATTGTTTTATTTTTTTCTGAAAAAAAAAAAAAGAGATGGAAATATATCACTTCATATTGTTGAATCAGTGTTTATTGCCATCTCAGTGCCTACCTTTTATGTATTTATAAAAAGAGGTAGAAGAAATAGCATAACTTGGAACAAAGCCCGCGGAAGATAAGGATGCTGCCGGAGAGCCCCACCCACATTGCCTTCTAGTCAACTCTGACTCATAGAAACCCTACTGGACAGAGTGGAACTGTCCCATAGTGTTTCTGACAATGTAAATCTTTACATGAGCAGAGTGCCACATCTTTCTTCCGTGGTTCCACTGATGGATTACAGCTCTGACCAGTTGGCAGCTGTGTGCTTAACTGCTGTGCCACCAGGGCTCCTGTTGGAGAGCATTGCTTCTCAAACTAAGATGTATATGTGTCAAAGTTCCCCAAAGAGTGCACTTTAAATGCAGATTCCGAGACCACAGGCATTTAGAAGCCAAGTTATTGGAGGTAAAGCCTGGAAATCTGCATCTTTTAAAATAAACTCTTCCAATAAGTCTTGGAAAGGAGCTCTGGTAGCGTAGTGGTTACAAATCGGGTAGCTAACCTCAAGGTTGGCAGTTCAAAATTACCAGCCATTCTGTGGGAGAAAGATGAGGCTTTCTGCTCCCATAAAGATTTACAGCCTTGGAAACCCTGTACCAGGGTCACTATGAGTCGGAACCGACTCCACGGTACTTAACAACAAACAACAAGTCTTGGAAGTCCTTACATCTGACAGCACTGATCTATGCATTTTGCAGATGTAACTGCAAAATGGACTAGATGAATCACTTCAAAGGGTGATGTGTTCTCTCAAAGGCAGTACAGATACCTTTAAGAAATTTCTGAGTCTGGAGAAAACACAGGAGATGCGTAAATAGTGCACCCATTTCAAAAATGAGAAAGGAATAGGCAATGTCTTTAGTGGATTGTCTAATTCATTGCATTCACATTTCATGCTTATTCAGTAATAAAACTGTTTTCTTAAAAGAGAGAGGGAGGAGAGGAGATGCTGGAAGCTATAGACTTGTAAGCGTAACATGACAATCTCTGGAAAAGTTCTGTTTCAAACAGATGGAGTCAAAGCCTTTAGAGGAGAATGTGAGGATTACTGGCAAGGACAGATTACCATGCTTACTGGGTTCTCCATCCCTGTTAGGGACTGTACACTTGAAAAGAGGCTTTGATTCTGTAGGAGGGTGCTGTAGGGTTGGGAGAGAGGCAGATGCTAGCCAGATGTAAAAGCAGAATCTTTCATGTGAAAAGATGTAAAATTGTTCAGATGAAAATGTAAATGCAAGTAAATCTGTGCTTACCTTGCTTATTGGGCAATCAGACACCGAATTCACTGGGCATAATTATGGGTTCACTAAAACAACATCAGAGATTGTCGAACTTTGCTGCATTATTTGAATCATCTGAATCATTTGAATCATCTGGAGGAACTTAAAAAAGTCTCAGTATCCAAGAAGGGGGCATGGGCTTCAGTATTTTTTAACTCCCCACAGATTCTGATTAGATGGAGTTTATCATGGACATTAGGATTTATGAAAAGTACCCCAGGTGATTGTAACAAAATTGCACAGCCTATGTGACATTGGGCAAGTTCCTGACCTTCCTTGCTCTATGTGTAAATACTAAGCAATTTTAAAGTGAGTCCTGGGTGTGACGCTGTGGGTTAATGCGCCAGACTGCAAAGCCGTTTGAACTGCAAGGTCGGTGGTTCAAGCTCACCAGCTGCTCCTTGGAAACCCTGTACAGGGTCGCTATGAGTCGGAATCGACTTGATAGCACTTAACAACAACAACAAGTCCGAGTGTGGCACTGTAGGATTAGTACTCAACTTCAGGGTTGGTCTGAACTGCAAAGTTGGCAGTTCAAACTCATCAGCTGCTCCTCAGAAATGCTATACAGGGTCGCTATGAGTTGGAACGACTCAACAGTGTTTAACAACAACAACTGCCTGTGAATGTCTGTGATTTTGTGGCTAAAAATCATGCCAACTTGATATATTTATTTATCTAGTCCACCAGCTTCTTTTCAGAAACCCTATAAAGGGTCGCATGAGTTGGAACCAACTCCATGGCACTTAGCAACAAAAACAACAAAAGCCAAGGCTTTATAATATTAAAATTTATTTCTTGCTGGGCCAGGCAGGCTGGCATGTCAAAGTGTCAAATTATCTATGTTAATCTCATCATAATATTTAGTAAAATTTCCCAGGACATCTTTATAGATAAATAAGATGAATGGTGAATTTACCACCTAATTGAACAAATATGATTAGACAGTGAGACTGTAATGAATCTGGGGGGACCCTAGAGAATAGTTTCCGGTAAAAAACCACAAGGCTTGTTCTGACTTTGACCTGACCTTTTTAACCATTTTTCCCCCTCCAAAACATAGGTAAGGAAGACAAGAAAGAAATGCCTATCAAATTTTGAAATAGCTCCAAGTTTAGGAGGGCTAATTAATTCGATAAGTAAAAGAATCAGGTGCAGTTCTGTTAAAAAAAAAAAAATCTGTTAAAATCATTATTGTTTTATAATATTTCCATAATTCATCAAACTTGCTCATTTTTGTTATTCCTTTCTTAAATGCTACAGTGTTCCCCTGCAACGGTAGTGGTGAACGCATGAATCGCTAGCCCTAATTTTTACAAGAAATGTGAAGCTTTTAGTATAGTAATAGTTGTTATTGGTAAGTGCCATTGGTTCCCTCTCGTAATGACCCTGTATAGGGTTTTCGAGGAGCAGCTGGTGAGCTTGTACCACCGACCTTGCAGTTCAGACTACGCAATCCAGTGCATTATCCCATAGCGCCACACCAGGACTCCCAGAAAGACCCAGAGAGCTTATTTACAAAGAATGCACTCACAGTTGATGATTCCTAAAAGCTCTTGAGATGCCATTGCTTTTAACCAGTGCCCTCAACTGATCCTGAGAATACTAGTGAAGGACTCAATTTGATTTGAATTTTGGTATAATTGTTTAAATGTATTGCTTGTGTTCCACAGTCAGTTTCCAATTTGAATTTTTAAAAGTCCAGATAGATTTAATTACCCAAAGAGTTATATTATGTCTGATTCTCCATATTCCAATTAGGAAATTGCATGCTCTTCCATTTTAATTTTTCTTTTCATTCTTAATACTTTATTTTATATAGATCTGGCTCTGACTAGTAATGGGTATTGTAATTTATGTGTAGCAGAAAAGCAATCTTTAGCTGCCCATTCCTGTTGTTGTTACTGCTGTGTGTTGGAAAATAAACCAAGATTAGATGTTGTATGATCACTTTGCACATCACATGATGCACAGCAATTCAGAAGGAGCATAAAATAAGACCTGCCAAGCAGCCCCTTAGATACCTTGCTGTTAACTGGCAGTTTCCTTCCCCCCCCCATGTGTCTTCCTCATTAGTGTCTGTGAATGAAGTGAAACGGCTAGGAGTGGCTCCTTGCAGCATAAGAGGAAGGTACTTTCCATACTCCGTCTGAATCTGAAGTTGAATTACTGAGAAGTTTTGAAAATATGGGCTGTAGCTGTTCATCTGTAGCAGATGATGGATCTAAGCAAGGTAAGTACTGGTATGTGCCTGTCTCCAGGAATGAAAAGCTAGCTTTCCCTTTTCCCTCTTTCTAATTTCTTCTCACTGTTCTTGAGTTGCCCTGTGTACAACGCATCATTACTAAAAGTTAAGTATTGGGGTAATAAAGGGAATGAACTTTAGGAATGTGTTTAGAAATGACCTTTGAATTTATGATTCACCCAAAAGTATTATCTAAAAGATATTTTATGTTTGATTTAATTTCAGTTGAAAATGTACCAATATAAAACCTCCATTCCAAATTCAGTGGCAAAGAACACGAAATACACTCTAACTTCACAGCTGTTTATTCAATACTCTTATAAATAGCTATAGCTATGCCTATGTAACGTTTAGTAGCATCATTGAATTTTTATTAGATTTTATAACTCAGTGATCAAATTATTTTTTATAGATATGTATCATAGAACTTCATGAGATTTGCCTGATGTTTTAAAAATATTCTAGATCAAATTTAGGAAATATTAGATCATTTGTTTTTTTTTAAAAAGTATATTGCTTCTATATAGATGGCATGCCTTTGACCCCCGCCCCACTAATATAAATAGGGACTTAAATATTTCTTCTGTACTGAAGTTCTTCCTCATACCTATTGCAAGCTAGTTGAAACTCATTTGAGTGTTTAAGGGACCTAATCTTCACCAGCAAAATAAAAATAAGTAAATAAACAGGGACAGTTATATGAATAATCCGCTCTTAAACTCTCTTCCTTTGAAACTTAGTCATAGGTTATTTTCCCAATTTCTATTCCACATTTTGGTTTTGGAGGTTTACTTGGCATTCAGGTGAAATGTTTAGGATGCAGAATTCTCTGCACTAACTAGGGTAGTATGTTTCTCTTGGGGAATCAGATGTTGTTCTTCCTTCCAGCTGACTTGTGCTGATGAGTTACCAACCTATTCTCTGAAAGTACGAAAGGACTCTGGAGAAGCACCAACTCTTTCAAATCTTTAAGTACACCAAGAATTAAATCTTTCAAATGCTTCAACTGAATGGATTCTAATTTATGGGCAGAGTGTAAAGAAAATAATTATCTTTTTATATCTAGGTTTAAGGAGACTTTAATGGCAGTGGATTTGGTTTGGTTTGGTGGTATAGTGGTGGCTGCTAACTGAAAGGTCAGTAATTTGAACCCACCAGCACTCCTCATGGAGAAAGATGTGGCAGTCTACTTTTGTAAAGATTACAGCCTTGGTTAGACTCTGTCATTAGGGTTGCTATGAGTCTGACTTGAAGGCCACCATTTTTTTTTTTTAATGGTAATTTTTTTACTAGAAGGCACAAAGCAATATGCAACTCTATGTCTAACATTTCGGGGAACTTCCAAACTGTTTTCTCAAGTGACTGCACCATTTTACTCTTCTACCAGCAGTGTATGAGAAATTCAGTTTCTCCACATCCCCACCAAAACTGATTATTGTCTGTTGTTTGTTAACAACAACAATAAAACAAAGTTTTGTTTTTATTCTACTGTCTGTGGGGTACATTATCACTATAGTTTTGATTTGCATTTCCCTAGTGACTAATGACATTGAATGTTTTTGCATGTGCTTATCTACCATTTATTTTCTCTGTAGAAATTATTCAGATCCTTTATGCATTAAAAAAAACCAAACACACCCATAACTTTGTATTTTGAATTTGGTGAAGATCTGACAAATTCTAATATTGTTTTTTTAAATCTGGTAATGCTTTATTTTGTTTTCATTTTTGAAAGGTAGTTCTGCTCAATATAGGATACTTGGCTGAATTTTTGTTTGTTTGTTTCAGCACTTTAAATATATCACCCCACTGCCTTAAAACTACCATTGTTTCAGATTTGAAGTCACCTGTTAATCTTATTGAGGATTACTTAAATATGTTAATTCATTTTTCTTTTGTTGCTTTCAAAGTTTTCTCTTGGCTTTCAGCATTTTACTAGGATATATTTGGATGTGAATCTCTTTGTATTTATCCTAGTTAGACTTTGTTGAGCTTCTTGGAAATATAGATTAATATTTTTTTGTGTGTAAAATTTGGAATATTTTCAGCCATTATTTATTTGAACTTCTTCTGTTTCTCTCTCCTCTCCTTCTAGTACTCCGATTATTTATACATTCATGTACCTAGTGATGTCCCACAGTTCTTTGAGGCTTTGTTCATGTTTTCTTTACTCCTTTTTCCCACTCTGTTCTTTGGATTACATAATCTCTATTAATCTTTCTTTGAATTCATTGATTCTTCTGCTAATTTAATTCTACTATTGAGCTCCTCTGGTAAAAATTTCATTTTTGTTATTGTGTTCTGTAACTTAAGAATTTCCATTTGGTTCTTCTTTAAAAATGTCTCTTTATTGATATTCTCTATTTGATGAGTCATTATTATTATACCTTCCTTTACTTCTATAAGCATGGCTTCCTTTAGTTATTTGAAAAAAATATATAATGGCTACATTGAATTCTTGGTCTATTAAGTCTGACATCTGTGCCCTTTTACAATCAGTTTCTGTTTCCTGCTTTAAAACAAATTCCCTGTGTAGTGATCAAATTTTCATGTTTCTTGGCTTATCTCATAATATTTTGTTGAAAACTGGACATTTTAGATAACATATTGCTATAATTCTTCATACTGATTTCCTTGGAAGTATCAGTTAAGAAATATACATACTAATTTCCATGGAATCAGAAGTCAGGAAATCAAATGATATATTATGTTGGGTAAACATGCCACATAAGACCTCTTTAAAGTGTTAGTTAGCAAAAATGTCATCTTGAGGATTAAGATGTACTTGACAATATTTTCAGTCAACTTATATGAATGCAAAACCTGGATAATGAATAAGGGAGACTGAAGAACTGATGCCTTGAATTGTCGTGTTGGTGACGAATATTGAATATACCATGGACAGCCAGAAGAATGAACACATCTGTCTTGGAAGAAGTACAGTCAGAATGTTCCTTTAAAAACAAGGATGGCAAGACTTCATCTAGTGTACTTTGGACATGTTATCAGGAAGGATCAGTTCCTGTAGAAGGACATCATACTCGGAAACATGGAGGGTCAGCAAAAAAGAGGAAACCCTCAATGAGATAGATTGACATAGTAGTTGCAACAATGGTCTTTAAACATAGGAATGACTGGGAGGATGGTGCCAGATTGAGCAGTGTTTCATTCTGTTATACATAGGATTGCTATGAGTCAGAACTGACACAATGACATCTAACAGCAACAACAATTCCTTCCTCCCATTCGGGGCTTATTTTTTTGTTAATTTTTATTTGCTTTGTTTTTTTGTTGTTGTTTTGTGGCTTGAATGGACTATTTAGAAGTCTATTTCTTCCATGATACTTCTCCTCAGAGGGTGAATCCTTGAGCATATGCACAGTCACCCTGGAATGTCTGTTGTATCGGGACTGTCTTTTGACTGTTTCCCTGATCTCTCTGTAGGCAGTTTACCTCTGCTGCTATCAGCAAATTGGTTTAAAATACCCCTTACGCTATAAGGCTTCATATATCACCTAAAATTCTAATCACAAATGGGATTACATCCACAGGTATAGGAATTAGGATTTATTACATGTATTTTGGGGGGAACATAATTCAATCCATAGCAATAAGAGATACCATTTATTAAATGTTTACTCTGTACACTTATTATTTCTATTTCTCACCAAAACTGGGAGGAATCATTGATTAGTCTCCTTTCACAGATGAAGAAACTGAGTAGTAGAGAGACTAAAGAACTGCTCAAAGTTACACATTAGTTGGTGGCTGAGTCTGGATTGAAACAAGGAATGACAGATTCCAAAGTCCATGCTTTTGATATGCTACTCTGTTTTATGCTGTTGTTTTTATCCAAAGAATGGAAACGAGAGACTGCAATTTCATCCTCCTAAACTTCACTTTGTAGTTAAAATTTTATATTGATGTGTTTGAATTAATAATCTATTGCCTTTTCTCCCCACCCCCCCTTAGAGCACTTTGAAAACACTATGATGTATTTTATTTCTTCCCTTGAGACTGTTTAGGAATGCATTTATACAGTTTCTCTAAGTGCTAAGGAGGCTAAATAGGCTATCTATGCTTTTTTTGGCTTTGAAGTTTGAGGCATAAACTGTGGCAAATGTAAAAATTCTATAACTGAAATTAGTTTGGTTTTTTTTTTGGAAATTTCTGTGTTTTTATTTAAAGATTTTAAATACTAAATAGCAACCTAAATGTTTCTTTAATTCTTGGTAGGACTGTTGATAAAACATCTAGTTAATTAGTTGCCTAGAAATCTAATTGTCAAGCAGTTCACAAATGCTTGAAAGATCTCCCTTCCATCACCCCTCACTCACATTTTTTTTCCAACCCTTTACAGTGATAAAAATTTAAATTTAGGACTCTCAGGAAACAATGAATGACATTGTTTCTTTCATCTTTGGTGTGCTCTAAAATATTTTTCTCAAAGTTTCCAGGGACGCTAGCCATTGTTCTTCTTCTTGGAAAGTTTTTGCTTACAAACTGTTGTTTTCTATCAAACAGTTTTTATTGATGCTGCAGGTTATAGCAGATATCACAGCTAGAGGGATCACCCTCATTTTCCTCCTCAATGAAATAACAGGTATCAGGTAAAAGGTTCTTTAAAGTTCATTGTCACTCTAAGTGATATTGATGCTGGGGTGAGGCTGAGGACATGTATTTCCCCCTTCTATCTCTCTGGCTTGCTCCTCTGTTACCTATCAGCATTTTAACAACTTTTCCTCTTTTTAAAAACTTTTTTCTCATGTCTTTTTTTGTGTGTTTTTCCCCTACAATTTATATGTTTTAAAAAAAATGCACACCTATAGAGACTATGAAAGAATAGTACAATGGTTAAATTTTAGGCATTATGATATTAACCTCTACTTCAGCATGCATCTCCTAAAAGGAGAAATACTCTCTTACATACACAATACTGCATTACACTGAAAACGTTTAATATTGACCAAGTAATATCTCACATACAA